GAAGGACTTCTGAACTGTCGTAACTGAGTGCCTCTGCTAAGACAGTGATTATGTATGAGTGATGGTGAAAGTGTTAACCCATTGACTGTTTTTGACATATAAATACGTCTTACGAGCCAATGTTTCTGACGTATATATACTTAATAATTCTAGCGGCTTCAAATCAAGCGGGAGAAAGCTGGTAGGCCCACATGTGACAGAATGGGTCTGTGTGGTCAGTGTGCACCACATAAAAAAAATCCTGCAGCACACATTGCGTAATGAGAAAAAAAAAAACTCTGATCGTTTTTTTTAATAAAACGCCGACTTTGAGGTGTATTTTCGTATAGTATTTATCTTTGTATTCGCGTTTTCATGGTCTTAGGTGATAAAATGGAAAACATATTACAGAAATAGATATGATTTTCATTACTTTGACGATGAAAACGACCTTGAAACTGAGCTCAAAGTAGCGGAAATGTTCGATTTTTACCAATGTTCAGGAGTAAATAAATCACACCACACGTCCAATACACGTCAACTGGGGAGTCTAATATTCTTTCACTAGTGCACTGATTTTATAAAATACCATTTTTACAATAAAGCAGTAAGTCTGCATAAACAGTAAATTTTGTATTTTTTTGTAGAATAAAAAATCAAAATAGAAAGCAATAACAATAAAGAGGGGCCTAGAGATGTGACTAATGAACAGAGGATATGTTTTTTAGTGCCACGAATGTCTACCTTGTTTATTCTGGACCCTATTTGAAATTGGCATCTTTTTAGTTTGGGTGAAAATTGGCCAAATTGGGCCAATTTCTGACCACCATATTGGGTATTCCATTTAGTAAATGGGAGGTTTCTTGTACTCAACTGAGAGATAAAATGGAGTTCTAAAGAAATAGCTATGAGTTTGGTCAACTGGAACAATGAAATTGGCTGAAAATAGGGCTCAAAGTCGGCGAAATCGCCGATCGCATATGTCGCCGAGACCGCTACTTCGCGGGAGCATAATTCCATGATTTTTTTCGACCAAATTTCGAACTTTTGGTGTCATTACCATCGGGAAAAGATTCTCTATCATTTCATAAGAAAAAATAATTTTTTTTTTTTTTCAAAAATTGAGCGACATAGAATGACAGTTTCAGAAAGGGGCCTGAAACAGTCAAAGGGTTAAATGATGAAAGTATTTTCTTTTTGGGAATTTTTTTCTTTTTGGGTCACCCTGCCTCAGTTGGAGACGACTGATGTGTTAAAAAAAAAAAAAAGAATTACTAAGAAGAAAAATACTAATTATGAAAAATAAAACTGGTATTACTACTAACAAGGATGATTATGAAAATAGAGACTATGTCTAGAATAAAAATTATGATTTAATTACTTTAATATAATATTAAAACTAGATATCAAATTTAGCATCTGATATTTCACGATGTCCAAACATAAACTACTAACAATAGACAATAAAAGATAATGTATGCAGTTCTATATAAATCTGCAGGGGAAGGAGAGCGAGGTAGGGATCAGCCTAGAACAGGTTGGAGTGGGGGGGGGGGGTAAAGGAGGATTTGTGGGTGAAGGGCTTGGACTTGCAGCAAGAGTGCGTGAGCGTGTTAGATAGGAGTGAATAGAGGCGAATGGTTTTTGGGATTTGATGAGCTGTTGGAGTATGAGCAGGGTAATATTTAATGAAGGGATTTAGGGGAACCTATTAGCTAGACTTGAGCCCTGGAAATGGGAAGTACAATGCCTGCACTTTAAAGGAGGGTTTCGGGGTATTGGCAGTTTGGAAGGATATCTAAACTGTGTATCTGAGCGCCTCTGCAAAGACAGTGATTATGTATGAGTGATGGTGAAAGTGTTGAATGATGTTGAAAATTTTTTCTTTCTGGGGTTTTCTTTCTTTTTGGGTCACCCTGCTTCAGTGGGAAACAGCCGACGTGTTAAAAAAAAAAAGTTCTCTATTAAACAAAACTGAATTTGTATTAAGTTTAAATAACTGAGGTAGTGTTACTTATAAGTTGATGTGAGGATTGAAATCTCTAGTATCTTCTATAAAGGCAAAAAATAGTTGTGGGGGTTGAAAAAATTAATACACAGTTTAAATCTATGTTAAACTGAGTCTGCTTTTTTTTTTGTGAGATGTATGTTCGGGTGAGATATAAGCGACTATTGGCAGAAAGGTGGGCTAGTGCAAAGATGAGTAGTGGGGGGGTTGAAGAGGGTTGGAATAGTTTTAAAAATGCAGTATTAGAATGTGGGGCAGAAGTTTGTGGTTATAGGAGGGTGGGGGCAGGAGGAAAAAGGAGTGATTGGGGGAATGATGAAAGTAAAGGGGTGATAAAAGAGAAAAGGTAGCTTATGAGAGGTTTTTACAAAGGGAAAGGTTTTAAGAAGAGCCGAGTATATGGAGATAAAGAAAGGGAAAGAGAGTGGTGAGAGAGTGCAAAAGGGAGAGCAGATGATAGAGTGGGAAGGCACTGTCAAGAAATTTTAATGAAAATAAGAAAAAATTTGGAGTGAGTTAAACAAGTTAAGAAAGCCTAGGGAAAATATGGATTTGTCAGTTAAAAACAGAGTAGGGGAGTTAGTGATGGGGGGATGGAGGTATTGGTAGATGGCGAGAATATTTTGAGGGAAATTTTAAATGTTAAGGAAGAACAGAGGCAGTAATTTCATGCACTGGTCAGGGAGGTAAAACCATCTTTTAGGAGTTTAAGAAGAGCAGAATTTAAGTGTGGGGGAGGTACGTGAGGCATTACGTAAAATGAAAGGGGTAAAACAGCTGGAACTGATGGGATCATGACAGAAATGTTAAAAGCAGGGGGATAATAGTGTTGGGGTGGTTGGTACTTTTGTTTAATAATGTATGAAAGAGGGGAAGGGACCTAGGGATTGGCGGAGAGCATGTATAGTCCCTTTATATAAAGGGAAAGGGGACAAAAAAGACGTAAAATTATAGAGGAATAAGCTTATTGAGTTACCAGGGAAAAAATGATGGTAGGTTATAATTGAAAGAATTAGAGGTAAGACAGAATGTTGGATTGCGGATGAGCAAGGAGGTTTCAGAGTGGGTAGGGGATGTGTAGATCAAGTGTTTACATTGAAGCATATATGTAAAACAGTATTTAGAAAAGGTAGAGAATTTTTATTGCATTTATGGATTTAGAAAAGGCATATGAATAGAGTGGATAGAGGAGCAATGTGGCAGATGTTGCAAGTATATGGAATAGGTTTGGTAAGTTATTAAATGCGTAAAGAGTTTTTATGAGGATAGTGAGGCTCAGGTTAGGGTGTTTAGAAGAGAGGGAGACTACTTCCCGTAAAAGTAGGTCTTAGACAGGGATGTTAATGTCACCATGGTTTTTTAATAAAATTTATAGAGGGGGTTGTAAAGGAAGTAAATGCTAGGGTGTTCGGGAGGGGTGGGATTAAATTTTGGGAATAAAATTTTCAAAAGGGGAAATTTGACACAGTTACTTTTTGCTGATGATACTGTGCTTATGGGAGATTCTAAAGAAAATTGCAAAGGTTAGTGGATGATTTTGGGAATGTGTGTAAAGGTAGAAAGTTGAAAGTGAACATAGAAAAGAGTAAGGTGATGAGGGTGTCAAATGTTTTAGATAAAGAAAAATTGGATATCAAATGGGGAGGAGGAGTATGAAGAAGTGAATGTTTTCAGATACTTGGAGTTGACGTGTCGGCGGATGGTTTTAATGAAGGATGAGGTTAATCATAGAATTGATGAGGAAAAAAGGTGAGTGGTGCTTTTAGGGATATGTGGAGTCAAAAAACGTTATCTTGGAGCAAAGAAGGGAATGTATGAAAGTATAGTAGTACCAACACTCTTATATGGGTGTGAAGCTTGGGTGGTAAATGCAGTAGCGAGGAGACGGTTGGAGGCAGTGGAGATGTCCTGTTTAAGGGCAATGTGTGGTGTAATATTATGCAGAAAATTCGAGTGTGGAAATTAGGAGAAGGTGTGGAGTTAATAAAGTATTAGTCAGAGGGCAGAAGAGGGGTTGTTGAGGTGGTTTGGTCATTTAGAGAGAATGGATCAAAGTAGAATGACATGGAAAGCATATAAATCTATAGGGGAAGGAAGGCGGGGTAGGGGTCGTCCTCGAAAGTGTTGGAGAGAGGGGGTAAAGGAGGTTTTGTGGGCAAGGGGCTTGGACTTCCAGCAAGCGTGCGTGAGCATGTTAGATAGGAGTGAATGGAGACGAATGGTACTTGGGACCTGACGATCTGTTGGAGTGTGAGCAGGGTAATATTTAGTGAAGGGATTCAGGGAAACCGGTTATTTTCATATAGTCGGACTTGAGTCCTGGAAATGGGAAGTACAATGCGTGCACTTTAAAGGAGGGGTTTGGGATATTGGCAGTTTGGAGGGATATGTTGTGTATCTTTATATGTGTATGCTTCTAGACTGTTGTATTCTGAGCACCTCTGCAAAAACAGTGATAATGTGCGAGTATGGTGAAAGTGTTGAATGATGATGAAAGTATTTTCTTTTTGGGGATTTTCTTTCTTTTTTGGGTCACCCTGCCTCGGTGGGAGACGGCCGACTTGTTGAAAAAAAAAAAAAAAATGTGAAATTCTCCATGGGGAAGTGGAACAGAATTCTTCTTCCATAACCTGTGTGTGTCGTAAGAGGCGACTAAAATGCTGGGAGCAAGGGGCTAGTAACCCCTTCTCCCGTATACATTAAAAAAGTTAAAATGAGAAACTTTTGTTTTTCTTTTTGGGTCACCCTGCCTCTGTGGGATATGGCTGGTTTGTTGAAAGATGATGTGAAATTGATACTTTTTATTTTTTTATAAAGATGTATGAGATAATGTTGAATACACATTCAGTAACTTGATTCACAAGATCAGCAAGACTTGAATACACGTTCAGTTCCTTGATTTTATTGCAGGTTCTGATTTAGGGCTGTGGGATTTTGTTCTTATTTTATTGGTCATTAATTTATTGATCATTAATTTATTGTATTTATGTATCATTTGCCATTTTCATAATAGGCTTTTTGATAACAGATGGGACTAGTCCTAAACGCAGTAGTGATGGTGTGTCAGTGGCTCCTCCACTCACTCGGCGGCAGGCACAAGTCAAGGTGCTCGAGCTGACACACATTGAGAGAGAATATGAACTTGTTCATGCCAGACTGAAAATGGTCAAAACACAGCCAGATATTCCATCATCAGGTGAGCATATGGTGTTTTTTTCCAAAGTTTTCAACAGTTATAAAACTCATAGGTTACTCACCATACACAGGATGTACCACTTCCTCTTCCCTAAACCTTTTTCTTATTTCATTCACTGTTATTACTTATTAAGATTCAGCATTGACTTAATATACCCATTATACTACTTAATGCCTTGAACCCATTGCTTTTACCAATTGTATTGGCTCTGTCATCTAATTTCTTTACTGCTCTGCATAATCATAACGTCACTTTGATCCCTAGTATATTTCTGCTGCCTACGACATCCTCACCATAGCTTTCAAATACTACACACTTGCCTCAACATTGGCACAATTATTCTCTGATAAATTCTAGATTTTGCATTCTTGCATAATTTCTCCCTTTCTACAGACTTCAACAATCCAGCTACCTTCTTTTTCTCATATATTCTGTGATTCACTAACCCATTCCCAAAATATCTAAATGCATTCACTACCTCCATACTTGTTTCCTTTATTTTATCATTTAATCTTTCATTGTCCTGACTTCTAACTTTCATCACTTGACTCTTTTCAGTGTTTACTTTAAAACTTACTTTTACACACACACAAGCTAAACAAATTGCATCAACTTTTTCAAATTTCTCATAAGTGCTGTTTTAAATGCACACCAACAATAACAATTCCTGTTGCAATTTTCTTTTTTTTTTCTTCCACCCACTTTTCAATTTTCTTTTCTTCACTGATGCCTTCGTCCTATTGGATTCAAATTTCTAACTCTTAAGTACAGTAATGAAGACCAGGCTCTAGTAACAGCTGCTTGTGCCAGTTGTGGAGAGTTAGTCCGGTGTAACTCTCCATAGGTGCAGTGCTTTATGGATGATGCATCTTATCACCAGGGCAGTTCTTATTTAGTTTAGTTTGTCTGTGGGCAAATTTGTCAATGCAATGAATATCTTTTAAAACTTAGTATCATTTTGACACTTTTATCAAATTCGACTGTGTTAAAAAGCACAAAATAGTTTTTTTTGTACAGGATTGCAAAGAATTTTAAAACTATTGCAACTCTGAATATAAAATAGAAAAAAGTAAAAAAAAAAAAAAGTAATTTTTATAGCTTTTTAAATTTTGCTGAGTCGAGTGAAGCCTTAAGTACTGCACTTCACAGTGCCAGAACTGTCAGTCTGTCAGTTACAGTTTTATCATACCATCTGAAGTTTTCCTTTATAATTTTAAACCCTGGTCATTTGTTACTAGTGATGGTTCATAAAGCAGTTCAACAAATCAAATAAAACTTTATTTCAATAAAGTGGTGTACTGTACAGTATTCAATTATGGCAACTGACATGTATAAACTACTTTATAGGAAGCCCCTTGTTATGCAGAGCATTTTGGGAAGCCTTAAAACTAAGTTATTAAACAGTGAAAGACATAGTACATGAGAATAAGAATACAGTGGACCGTTGTATTACATGGACTTATTTGCCATGTTTTGGTTATTGTACTTTTGAAAAATTGTGGCACAATTTTATGTAGCACTTCGTAAAATTAACTTAATACAGTTCGGTTTGTGGGAGGGGAAAAAATTTGGAGCATCGCCCGTGGGATATTTCCTCAACTCAGGCCACTGCCTGGCTGTGGGTTAGACCATTGAGTCAACTGGGAAAACCTACCACCATCCCCTGCCACCCTTGTCCCAGCCTTTGGTTCACATACGCGTGTAGGACCATTCTCTTCTAGGAGCTAGCTGTGTTTGTGGGTTGTGTTTTGATCTTTTAATTACAATATCTTGTATCTGCCAAGCAGTCATGGCACCCAGTAAGCATACAAATGTTCCTGAAAGTGACAAGAAAAGGTTTAAACGTTTAAGAGTTGGAGTTAAAAAGAAAATCAAAATATTAGACAAGCTTAGGAGTGGCTCCTTTTGGTGGACATAGCAAGAACCTATGACCTTAATGAAGCGTTGGTTCTTACAATTAAAAAAATGAGGTTAATATACGAGCTTGTGTAATGAATAACCCAGGATGTTATCTCATGAAAAGAATGACATAAATTGCAACAAGTAAATAAAACAGAAAACTTTATTGCTTGAATGGATTGAACAAACAACAAAAAAAGGTGCACCAAAGAAAGGCTTTACAGTTGTTTAAATCAGTGTGTGATAGGAAGGACAGAAAGCCTGGAAGAGTACAGTAGGGTCCCGCTTTATGGCATTTCGCCTCATGGCATTCCGCTAATTTGGTGATTTCAAATTACGACCAAAACTATACGGTTCCCTGTCTTTCTAATATGGCAAGTGCCAGGTTTGTTTACTCTTTCCTTGAGCACCGCGTCTCTCCATTATGTTTGGAAAGCTTTCCAAGATTTCAAGTGTTTTAAAGTTATTTCATATTTTATATACACAGTGGAACCTCTACTTGCGAGTTTAATCCGTTCCATGACCCTGCTCACAACTGGATTTGCTCGTTTGCAGAGTCAATCACCTTTACTCAAATTTTCAAGCAGAGTATAGCACTTTGCCTGGATTTTTTGGGTTATCTTAGGTAATTTATACTACGTATACTTGTATTTATATGTACCTGTGAGACAGAGATAGATAGAGAGAGAGAGACAGATTGAAAGATACAGAGACAGACAAAGGCAGATAGAGACACAGACAGACACAGATAGACACAGATAGACAGAGGTGGACAGACATAGACAGAGATAGAGAGAGATAGAGGAAGACAGAGATAGAGATACAGAGATAGACAGACCCTAAACTTGGGGTTAACATCACTTTCCTCTTAAAAGAGGAGTGTTAATATGACATTACATCAGTGAATCCTTGGTGTTTGCTGCACTGTTTGCTCTAGCTGGCTCTCAGTTTAACTGGCGCTCCCACAAGGTACTAAGTGGTCCCAGATTTTTTTAATGCGGGGCACACTGAGTGTTAGGACCCATTCTATGCTGGCAAGACATCTCTGGCCAATTGTGCCAAATTTGAAGGCAGAAAAAATAAAACGTATATATATGTTTGGGGTGCTGTGCGTAAGAACGTATATATACGTTTGGACTGTTTAACCCTTTGACTGTCGCAGGCCCCTTTCTTAACCCTGATGTCGAAGGCCAATCCTAAGTTTGCTCCTGGTGTCGCAAAATATTCGAAAAAAAAAAATTTATTTTTCTTATGAAATGATAGAGAATCTTTTCCGATTGTTAATACACCAAAAAAACGAAATTTGATGAGATAACACGACGAATTACGCTCTCGCGAAGTTTAGCGATCGGCAGATATTAAAAATCGGCAATTGCGCCACACTTTGAGCCCTATTTTTCGGGTAATTTCGTTATTCCATCAACAATATAACTATTTCTTCACAACTCTATTGTTCCTATCGATTGAGCAAAAGAAACTGCAGCATTTACCGATTATCAACTACCAATAACATGGTCAAACAAATTTGCATATTTGGCCATTTCACAAAATTAAAATAACGACAATTCAAAATAATGGTTACAGTAATGAACAATGCAGACATTCCTGGACTTCTAAAATAAGATTTTCTTTGTTCATCAGTTCTTGTCCCAGGTCCCTGTGGATATTACTCTTGCTTTTTATTTTGAATTTTATTCAAAACAAAAATAGAAGATTTTACTGTTAACAGATACATGCAATATCTGTATAATTGTAAAAATTACATCAACCCATTCTTGATGGTATTAGATGGCTTTTTGGACATTTTGACAATGACATTCTTGTTCACTTTTGAACATTCGGCATAAATCAAACATTTCCTGTCTTCTGTTCTCCTTTCCAGGTTCTTTTTTAGTAAAATAATCCAAAATCACTCATTTCTATAATATGTTTCCATTCTATCAATGAGACTGCATGTGGAAAACTGTTGATACAGACACACAAATACTATTACGAAAATAACCACAAAGTCCGGCCATTCGTCAATTAAAAAAAACGGGTCGGAGTTTTTTTTTTTATCTTCTCCATCATGTCACTGCATGCTCCAGGATTTTTTTTTATGTGGTGCACCTGTCCACAGACCCATTCATACTCACATGTGGGCTACTAGCTTACTCCTCCATGATTTGCAGCCGCTAGAATTTATGAGTATATATAGTCAAACATCGGCTACCTGACAAACGTAATATACGGGCCGCGACAGTCAAAGGGTTAAAACTATCATTTATGTCGCAAAAATTCAAAAAAAAGAGGATGGTATTATTTTCCTATATGAATCTTAAGCTATTTTTCTAGTTTTTAAGTCACTCAAAAAAAATTTTTGCCACATACTTTACTGGCATAGGAGCTGATTTTCTAATGCTTCAAGATCATCATCTCATACACGTCATCTCATACCTCACATATCATTTTCACATTATATCATGATGATTTTTTTCATCATTTCATCTTCACATAATCTTAGTCTCATACATCAAGTAATGCATTCATATCATCATCGTTGTATCATCATCATCAATCATCACATCAATCATATCATCATCATCTTTTCACATCATCATTATCAAAACATCAATATCATCAACATCATCTTATATCATCATCATCTATAATCATCATATCATCACATCGTCATCATCGACATCATCTAAGTTTATCAGCTTATGTATCTTAAACATGTTCATCACACAATCTATCTATCACTTCTCACCTCAACCGTGTGTTCTTCTTTCTGCTTTTTTTTTTTTTTCTTTCTTTCAATACAACTTTCTTCTGGCATTTTTCTTCAAATTTCATGCTGTTTGTTTGTTCTTTCTTAGTATTGGTTTTTTTCATTCTTTCTTCTTCTCTTTCTTGCATTCCTTTCTCCTCTCTTTCTTCATTCTTCTTCTTCCTTTCCTTATTCTGCTTCTTTCTTTTCTTTCTTTCTTCTTTCTTTCTTTCTTCTTCTTTCTTTCTCTCTTTCTTTTCTTTCTTTCTTTTCTTTCTTTCTTTCTTTCTTTCTTTCTTTCCTTTCTTCTTTCTTTCTTTCTTCTTTCTTTTTCTTCTTCTTTCTTCTCCTTCTTTTTTTCTTTCTTCTTTCTTCTCCTTCTTTCTTTCTTCTCCTTCTTCTTTCTTCTCTTCTTCTTTCTTTTCCTTCTTTCTTTCTTCCTTCTTTCTTTCTCCTTCCTTCTTTCTTCTTCCTCCTTCTTTCTTTCTCCTCCCTCCTCCTCCTCCCTCCTCCTCCTCCCTCCTCCTTCCTCCATCATTCTCCTGGTATCCTGGGCATTGCTTTTGGTCTCAAACTCCTCAAAACCATGAAGTTGATCTTCACTGACACTTCCAACTGTGTTAGAGCATCACTTGGGAAGAGAAGAGTCCCAGATTTGCTGGGGAATCAGATATTTCTTACTGCTAGACATGCTGGAAAAGGACAACAGAAATGGCATTCTCACAATGCACCACTGGCTCCCTGATTTTTTTTTATATGGTGCACACTGACCATGGAGACCCATTCTCTCAGATGTGGGCCTACCAGCTTTCTCCTGCTTGATTTGAAGCCGCTAGAATTTATGCGTATAGATAAGTCAGAAACAGTGGCGCATAAGACGTATTTATATGGCGTAAACAGTCAAAGGGTTAAGGGTTAAAGTGTCCTAACCATGAACAGTAGGAACATTTTACTTTTCCAAATGGCCTATCTGGTCTATAGGATGGGTTCAGTTGAACTTGATGCCTTGCTTCCAGTTTTGCTAAAATACGGGGAAGATGTGGATGGGGATCCTGTCTACCAGATGACCTCGTTTGTTCTGGTTTTAAGACTGGCTTTATTACTTCCTTGCTATTTTCGGGTTGCACGAGCCACTGGGAGATCTCATAATTATCACCAACACAGTGGTTTCTCTCACAGTCGCTTGCGGATGGCAAATGAGATACCTGTGAGCTTCGTCAGGTAAATTAGCATTCAAATCCTCGAGTAGCATCAGTTGAGTTTAATCCTTTAAGGAAATGACCTCGGAAGCTCACACCAACGATTTAAAGTGACCATTTTTCCCCTGGCAAAGTCTACGTAAGATTGCCCTGATTGCTGCCTCAAAGACCGAAAAGCCATTTGGTAACTGATAGGAAGCAAATCATGTGTCTAGAATAGTTCTTTTCACTACCTCATACTGTGTATATAACTCGTATGGTAAGGATGCTGTACAAGCCTGAGCCTTGCCGTATAGGGACGTATGGAGTAAAGCAGCCCATTTCTCTCTGGGCCAGCCCATGGAACGCTCCTGATTTTCAAAGATTTCGATAAACTCGTCTAAGTCTTTCTCGTCGAATATGGGCACCATTAAAGCTGCTTTATGTAAATCAAATGCGGTCCCTGCATTCTTCGTGGTACCTCCTTCTGGACGTTCCTTTTGGAGCCTTTCAAAACGAAACATTTCGCTTCTAAATTCTTCTTTATTTGGTCGTTTGGCTTTAATTTGAGAATTTTGCAAGAGCAAAATACGTTTCATTTTCTCTAGTTGACCTGACGTAAAGTTTCCTAACAGTAATGTCACTGAGGGGATCTAATCTTAAGATTATCCCAATCATTCACCTGAAGATTTGTTCCCTTATTAAGTGCATACTCGGGGGGGGGGGGATTGAACAAGGAGGGCCCTTGGGGTTGAGAGGGGTATGAAAGTCTTATCGATTCCTATTTGACTTCATTATTTATTGCTGTTCCCAACTGTGGGATTTCTAACTCATCGAACTGAGAAATCTAACTGCCTTCCATATCTGGCCCTGCAGGCATTTTTGGGAATAAGCTATCCTTAATCATTGATCTAAGGGTTTCTGCACTATGATGCCTATTATAAGGTATATCTAAATATCTTGCTATTTACCAACAGGTCTGTAATTTTAGGGTGTCTAGAGTGGCCTCTGTTAACTCGTCCAATAATAACTTGATTCCTGGATCCATTTTTCAAATTCCCGCAAGCAGGCTTAATTTAATGTAGATTAAATACCTCAGGTTATATTTATCCCGGACAGATCTCCCACTTGTTACAACTAGCCTTATGTCGTAACAATGGGGAAATAATGACTCCTCATGTTCCTTCCAGTTTTTATTTAATACATATATCAAATCTCTTTTGGTATCCAGTAAGCAAGTTACAATTGCAATCCCCTATTCTCAGGGATGTGGTACTGTACAGCGAAGAACATAACTCTATGTTCAAGTTCTTATAAATTATAAAAACCCACACCATAAATAATTTACCAATAATAACAAACTTGTGTGGCTAGACAATCTTTTTAGTTACTTTCAGAAATCAATCTCTAAGGATTACTCAGGCTAGTAATCTCTCCAATAGTTAATCTTCTCCTATAAGGAGGTTTTGAACTTTATAGATTAACAGCAATGTTAAAACAGCAGCAATGAATTAGAGTGCTCAAGGGACTGTACACTCTGGGTTGAGGACCTAATCAGAGTCAGTTCTATGAGCTGACTGACTATACCAATGCATAGTAGCCTGACGTCAGGTTGGTCAGTGGCTGCATGAGGCGCCAATACCGGAACTATCAACTGGGCTTCAAAGTAGTGGTTTCCCACTTCACGACAGTAACACTTAATATTACAGAGTAACCAAACCTACTATAATACAATATTAGTAATATGCATACAATACCCTAGGTAGTAGGTTGGTAGCAACCGCCCAGGGAGGTACTACCGTCCTGCCAAGTGAGTGTAAATTGGAAGCCTGTAATTGTTTTACACGGTAGGACTGCTGAAGTCTTTTTTTTCTGTCTCGTACACATGCAAGATTTCAGGTACGTCTTGCTACTTCTACTTACACTTAGGTCACACTACACATATATGTACAAGCATATATATACACACCCCTCTAGGTTTTCTTCTATTTTCTTTCTCATTCTTGTTTATTTCCTCTTACCTCCATGGGGAAGTGGAACAGAATTCTTCCTCCATAAGCCATGCGTGTTGTAAGAGGCGACTAAAATGCCGGGAGCAAGGGGCTAGTAACCCCTTCTCCTGTATACATTACTAAATGTAAAAGGAGAAACTTTCATTTTTCCTTTTGGGCCACCCCGCCTCGGTGGGATATGGCCGGTGTATTGAAAGAAAGAAAGAAAGAAAGAAAGTATACAGTACAAGAAGTACCTAACTAACAACATAAACCTTATTAATTACAACCATACTTGAGAGTGACCTTTATTCCTGTGATAGCAAACACTAATATATAGTTGAACCATCTTTATCTAGCTAATAATAAAGTAGTTTGCAATATAATATTACATGATGTATAATAGCCAGGCCTTTTTCTTTATTTTTCGTGCATGATGGAGTGTAAGAATGTAACGTGCAACACCTACCAATATGGGGTGACCTGTACTAAAGGAAAATAAATTCACCATCACTTGATCATTTGCTGTCATAACAGAAGTGTGCAGGCATCCCAGTTCAAATGACTCTCTGAACTGCAACACGTCCATCTGTCGTCAGAAAGCAGGCATCATGGTTTATCACCAAATTAAGTCAGAAAAACAACTTGTCTCCATTCACTTTTATCTGGGCGCGTGCAGACCCAGTGACTCGCGCAGTATGCTTGAAATATATGGTTATATGATTGTCTATAATGGTATGGTATATATACAGTACTGACAGAAATGGGTAACTTGAGAAAAGTAGAATGGCTGGGATAGATAATATTAAGGCAGAAATGCTGAAAACAGGTAGTGGATGTGGTTTCATCATCTATGTTTAAGGAGAAATTGCAACTTAGGGAAAGGCTGTTGCAGAGCTCTAGTGGGTGGTGGTACCAGTCCTGAGAGTCTATATTGCTTTTCATGCTTGCACACCTAAGGCAGTGCCCATAGAAATGGTCATTGTCATTTGATATATTTATTCAGACTTTCTGGACTCTTGTTACAAATGTGAGGAGGTTTATTAGAAGCATCTGTATAATACTTAACATTGGTTTGAAAGCTGGTCCAGTGATGCAATGCCTCCTTTGTTGTGCTTCTATTCTCCTGCAGTGTATGCACCTGATTGTTTATGCACCTCTGAATGAAAATTTTTATGACCACTGTAGTTTGATTGGGAGTTAAGAAAAGCTGATAGAAAAATGCAATGTAGAAATTGGGCAGTGGGTATAGACTTATGGGTGGGAAATTGAGTGATAGTTGCAGTATAAAGTTCTGTAGATTGGATGGTGTGAAAGGACAATGAAAGGAGTACTGTATGTATTTAATGTAACCATATTTTTCAGGGGGTCCGTTGAGTGCTGCAGACACCATCAGCTTGCTGACCCATGGCAGATTGTTCCGGGAGGCTGTTCGCCTAGCAAGGCTGTTTGAGCATCCTGTGACACCTGTTCTGAAAGGGTTGGCCCATGCATGTCTTCATCCTCTAGTCCCACGAAGCAGTGTCTGTAATTCTCAAGAAGAAAATGGCATTATTAGTGAGTATCTCTGGAGCCTGGGTCAGTATAACTGCTTCATTCTTCCATCCCTCCAGCCCTCTCCACTCCCTCTTTCCTCTGTTCTTAACCTTTTCGCTGTCCATCACACAGAACTATGACATTGAGTCCAGGGTCCATCATAAGAACATAAGAAATGAGGAGCACTGCAGCAGGCCTGTTAGCCCATACTAGGCAGGTCCTTCACAATCCATCCCACTAACAGAATATTTGCCCAATTCAATTTTCAATTCTACCCAAGGAACAAGCTTTGATAATTCTATTAACTCATGCGCAAGTCCCACTCAAATCTAACTCCTCTCACTTATGTATTTATCGAACCTAAATTTGAAACTACCCAAGGTCTTAGCCTCAATAACCCTACTAGGTAGAATGTTCCACTCATCAGCTACCCTATTTCCAAACCAATACTTTCCTATATCCTTTCTAAATCTAATCTTGTCTAATTTGAATCCATTATTGTGGGTTCTCTCTTGGGGAGATATCCTCAAAACCTTATTAATATCTCCTTTATTAATACCCATCTTCCACTTGTACACTTTGATTATGTCTCCCTTCATTCTTCGTCTTACAAGTGAATGTAATTTAAGGGACTTCAATCTCTCTTCATACGGAAGATTTCTAATGCAATGAATTAATTTTGTCATACATCGCTGAATGTTTTCTAACAAATTTATATCCATTCTGTAAAATGGAGATCAGAACCGAGCTGTGTAATCTAGGTGAGGCCTTACTAATGATGTATAAAGCTAAAGTATAACCGTTGGACTTCTGTTGCTTACACTTCTTGATATAAATCCCAGCAATCTATTTGCCTTATTATGCACGCTTAGGCACTGCTGTCTTGGTTTAAGTTTGCTGCTGACCATAACCCCCAAATCCTTTTTGCATTCTATACAGCTAAGTTCAACATTATTAAGCTGGTAGGTGCTAGGGTTATGAACATTTCCGAGCTTTAGAACTTTACGTTTATCTACATTGAACTGCATCTGCCATTTTTCCGACCACGAATTGAGTTTGTCTAAATCCTCCTGAAGTTGCGAGACATCAACGTCTGAATCGATTATCCTACCTATCTTCGTGTCATCAGCAAATTTGCTTATGTCACTAGTAATTCCCTTGTCAAGATCATTTATATATACATATTATAATCAACAATGGGCCTAAAACTGATCATTGCGGAATGCCACTTGTTACAGATCCCCACTCAGATTTAACCTCATTTATGCACACACTCTGCTTCCTATTAGTGAGCCATGACTCGATCCATGACAGCACTTTTCCCCCAATGCCATGAGCAGCCACTTTCTTCAACAGTCTCTGATGTGGTGGTACTCTATCAGAAGCCTTACTAAAATCTAAATAAACAATATCGTATTCTTTATGACTCACGAAATCGTAATGACACGATTGCAAACAAACCATACCACGGGCGGGATTTGAACCCGCGGTCAGAGAATCTCAAAACTCCAGACCGCCGCGTTAGCCACTGGGCCAGCTAGCTTCAATAAGATTCGTCCATCTAGGTAAGTTTCTACACCATAGGAAGGCTAGCATAGGTACCACTGTGTCCACAAATGCAAGTTTTTACAGACGAATCTCCCGCTAGCATGGCCGTGACGAACTCTAGCTCAAGTCCCCTCAAAGCCGTCAACATGACTCACGAAATCATAATGACACGATTGCAAACAAACCATTCCACAGGCGGGATTTGAACCCACGGTCAGAGAGTCTCAAAACTCCAGACCGTTGAGTTAGCCACTGGGCCAGCTAGCTTCAATAAGATTCGTCCAACTAGGTATATTTATACACCATAGGAAGGCTAGCATAGGCACCACTGTGTCCACAAATGCAAGTTTTGTACAGACGAATCTCCCGCTAGCATGGCCGTTTGCAATCGTGTCATTACGATTTCGTGAGTCATGTTGAGGGCTTTGAGAGGACTTGAGCTAGAGTTCGTCACGGCCATGCTAGCGGGAGATTCGTCTGTAAAAACTTGCATTTGTGGACACAGTGGTGCCTATGCTAGCCTTCCTATGGTGGAGAAATATACCTTTTTGGACGAATCTTTTTGAATACGGGCCCAGGGTAATGCGACGGTCTGGAGTTCTGGGGACACTCGACCGGGGGTTCAAATCCCCGGTAGGGTTTCGTTTCTTTACCTACAACCGCCTCAAAAGCTTTGCTGAAAAAGGGTTTAATAAATTAGTTAGGCGGAAGGCCCCGGGGAAATCCATGTCAGTACATTAATCAAATTATGCCTATCGGATGGCTTCTTATATTACAGCTATTATTGACTAGAAATTTGCCACAATTGACTTTTAGGCTTATTGTGTGGTATTTGACGGTAACAACTTGTCCCCCTGCTTTAAAATAGGAATTCATTAGCCATCTTCCACTTATCACCACTACACCGTTTGAAAAGAAAATTAAAAATTTTATTAAAGTTTACGGGTTTCCCTTTTTGCTTTCCCTTAGAACCTAAAAAAGCTCAGAGGACCATCAGTTTTTTTTGTTTCAAACGGTCAATCTTTTTGAAACTATTTTGCTGTAAATGTGATTTACAAAATTTATCTTCTTCGGGCCCACAAAAAACCTAACTTTTGGGGATATTATTAGGTCTTCCTGATAAAAACTGTGAGAAAAAAATTTTTAAAAAAAGAACCATTTCATTCCTTTTGTAGTAAGAACTCCATAGTTTTTTTTTAAAGGGACCTTCTTTTATCCTAACTTTTGTTCTAGACACCGGAAAAAATTTTTGGGGTTTAAAATTTTCAATCCCACAACTTTAATTTCATAGTCCTGTTTAGCTTTTTTTACCCCCTTTTTTAATGCCCCTCTTTAATTCAATAACTGATTCTAAGATACCCCACCCTTTTGATATCCCTAAAATCTTTTTTTTCTGTCCTAAAAGATATTTGAGCCTATTATTCATCCATTTTGGATCATTTCTATGCGATCTAATTTCTTTATATGGGATAAATGTTCTTTGGACAGCATGCATAGTGTTCAGAAAACTCTCATATTGATAGCTCTCTTTGTTACCCCAGTCCACAGATGACAAGTGTTCTCTAAGCCCATTGTAATGTGCTGAGCAAAAATCTGGGACCGTTACTGAGTTATCCCTACTGTCATACTTCCATTCAATGCTAAAGGTAATTGATTTATGATCACTTGCGCCGAGTTCCTCTATAATTTCTAAATTATTAACAAGGGTTCCCTTTTTTGCAAAACCAAATCAAGCAGGTTATTTCCCCTTGTTTTTTCTGTCACAAACGTTCAAAAAAATCCGAACTACTCTAAGAAGTCGTTAGATTCTAAATTCCCATCAAGAAATTCCATCAATTGACTAAAGTTGAAGTCCCCTGAAATTACTACTTTTAAACATCCTTGTGCCTAACATGTCCCCTATAATAGTCTCCCTTGTCCCCATGTAAGTTTGGGGGACTGTATATCACACCTTAAACCCCTTTTAAGGTCCGACAGCCCCCTCAAACTTGTCTCAGGTCGGCCAAATTTCAAAAAAAAAAAAATCTATGAAAAGAAAGAATCTTTCCCCGATCATCAGACACCAAAAGATGAAAATTGCTGGAAAACTCACAGAATTAGCTCCTCCGAAGTTAGCGTCCGACGATGTTTCGCTCGGCGTTTTGCCCCCTTGAGCTTTTTGGCCAATCCATGTACTTGTCCCAAAAAAAATCATAACTTTCGCTAGAACTCCATTTTTCTATCGAATGAGTACAAGAAACCACCCATTTACCGATTTCAACTATCCAATAAAGTTGTCAGAATTTAGAAATTTTGCCAATTTCACACAAATTTCAAAAGATGCCAATTTCCAAATAGGGTCCAGAATAAACAAGAAAGACATTCCTGGCACTAAAATAACATTTCCTCTGTTCATTAGTCACATCCCCAGGCCCCTCTTACATTTTTTTGCTTTCCACTTTGAATTTTTATTCTCACAAAAAATAGAAGATTTACTGTTATGCAGACTACTGCATTGGTGTACAAATGGTATAAATATTATCAGTGCACTTGTGAAAGAATATTAGACTCAACCAGTTGACGTGTATTGGACGCATAGCATGATTTGTTTAGTTTTGAACTTAGGTAAAAATGGAACATTTCTGCTCTTTTGAGTGCAATTTCAAGGTAGTTTTCTTTGTAAAACCAGTCAAAATCATCTCATTTTCTGTAATATGTCTTCCATTCTATAAAATGAGACCAGGAAAATTAGAATACAACAATAAAAACCATACGAAAATAAAGTGTAAAGTTGCTGTTTTAATCCAAAAACACGGTCAAAGTTTTTTTTTTCTCATTACGCACTGTGTGCTGCAGGATTTTTTTTATACCGCACACACTGACCACATAGACCCATTCTTTCATATGCAGGCCTACCAGCTTTCTCTCACTAGATTTAACCCTTTCAGGGTCCAAGGCCCAAATCTGGAGTCACGCACCAGTGTCCAAGAATTTTCAAAAAAAAAATTTGTTATTTTTTCTTATGAAATCGTAGAGAATCTTTTTGTGAAGGTAATAAAACAAAAAGTACGAAATTTGGTGGAAAATTGACGAAATTATGCTCTCACGAATTTTGATGTGTCAGCGATATTTACGAATCAGCGATTTTGCCGACTTTGACTCCCATTTTAGGCCAATTAATTATTCCAATCAACCAAATTCTTAGCTATTTCACTAGTATTACTTCTATTCTATCGATTGAGCACAAGAAATCGCCAAGTCAACTGTTTTCAACTACAAAATAAAGTGAAGCGGAAATTGTTAATTTGGCCAATTTAACACAAAGTTCAAAATATTCCAATTTCAAAATAGGGTCCAGAATGAACAATGTAGGCATTCCTGGCACTAAACTTACAAATTTTCCCCTGTTCATCAGTTATGTTTTGAGGCTTTACAAATAAATTCCATTTTTGATTTTTTATCACATAATGAATTTTTATTCCCCACCAAAAAAA